CAGGTCCTGAAGAAAGCCATGGAGTAATCGAACGCAGACTGACAGATTTATGTTTCACTCAGTGAAACTTCCTTTACAAAAATGTAGGCATGGGGTTCAGTCTCCAGGAGGCGGTAAAGCAACAGAGTGGATGCAATCAGCCGTAAAACACCAAAGAAGAAAAATAACTTCCTTTACAGCATATTTTGAGCCGGAGCAGTGGAGCGCACATGAACTTGGCATAAACTCATGTGCTTGCCACTGCTAAAGCTCAAAATATGATGTGTGACATAAAAAAACAAAATTTTGTAATTGAAATTGAATTATAGAACTGAAAATGAAAAGTAGTCAAACTGAATTTTCAATACAACGAAATAAAATATCAAAGCAAATAAATTCAGTTTCAAACCGTTAAATTCAGTTTCAACTTAATGAAATTCTTTTTCAAACCAATGGATTTAATTTCAAATTACGTGAATACAGATTCAGTCTGAGCAATTCAAATTCAGTTTCTACCCATAAAAAGGGTTTTCTCAGGTAAAGGTTTTTGAAGACAAATAATGTTCTTCTCTTCTGCGTTACCACTTGGTCAAACTTATTTTTAATTGATTTAACCATGTTTTCCTGTAAATTTGTTGCATATTTATTGTGAATATTTACGCTCCTCTGAAAATACAAAACACAGCCTAAAATGTACATTTTTAAATCTGAGTCTTAAGCCAGAAAATAAGATCGCAAAGGGCATTATTGCTGAAAGATGTTTTTTAATTAACCATGTGAATTATTTTTCTGCTTTAAATAGATTTTACGACCAAATTTAATACAAGGCATCAAAGAAAAAAGATTTTAAAAAACCCTTGTGACTGTTAATGCTTAAAAATGTCACTTGCAGAGACGATGGTATTAGAATAAAAAGAAGTACTAGACGCCAATCTATAAATGATTTAAGGTAATCATTTAAATGGATAAATAAACATATAGGTGCAGACTATTTAAAACATTTTTTTCTCAAATATGTCACCTCTAATAATGCACTGAAGAGAAAACTACATACAGGAGAAGTTCGCTGATCTTTACTTTTTCACATTTAAGGTCTCCAATGGTTTGTGTTTGCAAGACAAGGGGAGTTTAGCAAATAAGATCAAGCATTGAGAAAAATCTGTTGCAGCTTTGGTAATGACATCCAATAAACAGAGCAGATGTTTGCGAAGGAAACAACGTAAAGAAAACAGATCCTACCTCCTGCAGCTGTTTATGTCAACACTGGCCTTTTCACACAGACGCGTCGAAGGCTGTGTGCTCGTACACACTCGTATATTAATCTTTTATCGTAGAATAAACCAGTGAAATCCTTGACCAGACTGCCCCTGTGTTGTATGTTGCACAGAAAATTGGAATAGCAAAACGTGAACACTGATTACAGATGACTGAGAGGGAGGGAAACAGAGTGTGTGTGGGCACTTCTCATCAATAAGGAATGAAGCAATTAGGATAATCTTGGACTGAAGGTGCCCTTTCTTCTTCATAACTACCAGAACCATTCACAGGAACGCACAACTGAACTTCATGGGACAGCCTCCCCATCATAAACCTAAAGTACCACATAGAGGTGATATTGGAAAAGAAATCCTGTCTGTTCCTACAACAAAAGGCCTCCAAGCGTTAACATTAGCTGCTGTGTCGATTAGACGGATATCTACCTTGAAACTTGACTTTGAAAGCTGGCTAGCACATGTGGAAAATTAAGATCAATGATAATTATATGTAGTTTTTCAACATGCAGTAAGCACTGTGAATGCTTGCATTTTTAAAAACAATCATCTTAATATAACTTAAACAGAGCAGACTTGTATCACCAGACCTGCTATCATGGTGTATGGAACCTTGCAAGTGCCAAATGTTCAAATATAAACAGATTAAAGGAAATAGAAATAAATTACAAATCTATGTACACAAGTCTCTAAACTGAGAAAATAAATGTCCCATTTCATTTTGACATATGGCACTTGCTGGGCTCCGTATATTTGTGTCTGACACGGAGAATAGATGGACCACCTGAACAAGCTGGTCCTAGGCAGCACTCAGGCCAAGACTTTATGGGTGATGCTCCTGATAACCAACGTTCAACAGGAACTTGATTTAGTAGCATGACCTTTATTGGTCACATTAGAAGATCGGGGGTTTCTCCTGTGATCATTCACTGATGCTGATGGTACTTTACATCAAAGAAAACCTCATGTGTGTCTCAGTAATACTACAGAACATGAATGTTTTCCATTGATGTAAATACAGGCTGCATTGTGTCTGTCTGCCAGCTGTCATGGTTTACATACAGATATTTTTATTGTTGTTATTTCTGCTGTGACCACTCAGTGAATGTCTGCTAAGTTAAAGATTGCCAGACACTTGAAAAAAATAATTATCTTTTTAATTATTTTATTTAAAAAAAACTATTTTAGTGTTTAGATTCACGACTGCAAGCAATAAAATTAGCTCATGGTTATGATGGCCACACCAGTAGTGGATTAAGGAGTAAAAATGTGTCAGTGCTCATTTACTGGACAGTACATTTCGCCTGGGCGACACAGCAAAATGAAGCTCCAGGAGTTCCGGAGCAAGACAAAGGTGGCTTTGTATGGCAAGCCAAGTGTCTCATTAATAACCACTTGTACCTATTAATGAGACATTTGGCTTGCCATATTGGTCGAGGGCCCTCTAGCGGCTGAAAATAGTAGTGTTCAATATCCTGATGCATGCTTAATAATCCAGGTAGAAAAAGGTGTTCAATATTTTCCTTGTCAGAATGAATGAAATTGTCAGATCTCAGGCAAAAATTGTGTTATAAATATGGGGAAAAAACGTAAATTAATTGCTTCTGACTGTAAGTCGCAGGACTTGCTAATTTACGCAAAAAGATGTGACTTATAGTCCGAAAAGTACGGTATTTCATCAAACTATTGCAGAATGGGCAATGGAGGTTAGTCTTTTTATATTTGTTACATTTACATAATAAATAATGATTATGTGACAGTCTTATTTTCCAGTCATCTAGAAATTCACATCACAATACCTATTGAGATGATCTTTTTGGTCTTGAAAGCTAAAGATTGCACATCTGACTAATAATAATTTAAAATTTATCACAGTCCTGTTTTTTTTTTCTTCATTTCTTTTGGCTATTCCACATGCAGATACATCTAATTTAGATCACTGACTGCAGATGACAAAATCCTGAGCTTAAGGAGCCTTTAATTAATACACTAACTCTTAAAACTCCACCAGAACCAACTGCAAGTATGTTTGACTGTAAGCTAAAGTTTGATATCTAACTTTGTAAGAGCACTCTAATCACCAAAATCACTATTTCTAACACAGATCTAAAATTACTCCACAACACTTGTTCAATATTTCCCCAAACCAAACGAAGATAAGTTCAAAGCTTAGTAGTGAGCTGTATCCCAAAATACAACGTAACCCTTACAATCCAAGTGGAAACATAATATTTTGTTTGTTCCATTTCTTTATCATTTTGGTGCTATTCTTGAAACCCAACAGAACAAAAGGGATGAATGATTGTCTTTTGGCAAACACTGATCGAGTTCCCACCTGCAGCAGCTCTGAACTTCCCCTAACCTTTATCCCCTAACCACCTCTTTCATCAAAATCTGCTTCACCACAGCCAGATTTAAACTCTACCTTCTACCAGAACCAGAAGACTGGTCAAAAGGTTTGCAAGTGTCCTTTAGTTAGTGGATGCGTTTGTTATACATGAGAGTGTGTGATTCTGAAGCTCAAGACAAGATGTACTCAGGCCCAGTAATAAGGTCTGACTGCAGGTCATAGAATCTGGGACTGAGGACATGTGAAGTGGAAAAGACAAACCATCATAAGCCTGAAAGGGTTCAGTTCCCATTTTCTTTTTGTTCCTCTGGTTTTTGTATTCCTCTTCTCTCTAATTACTCCTCCAATCTTAACAGTCTTTCTTCCTTCTCCCTCTGTCTCGCCCTTTCCAGAAGGTCCTTCCCTAAACCCCAGAGAGAAGGGGAGGAGCCTGGGATGGCGAGGACGCACTGGTAATCCATGCAGTGACCCAGGTCAATTCAATTATCCTGTTTTCTTTCACTGCGCGACGCGTGTGCCCATTTCACAGCCAACTCCCTTAATGCGCCCAGGATTAGCTTCTCTTACTTTTAATAATCTACCTATCGATGCCTTGGGGCCCACAACATATGCAAAGACACACAAACACACACAGGTAAGTTTATCAAGTAGAAGTTCTAGAGTAAGGGAATTCACTAAACACTTTTGCAGGGCTAAGGATCAAGGAATAAATCTTAAAATAAATATGCATTCACGTGTGTGTGTTTGCATTTGCTTGACTGTGTGGGAGTGTGGCTTACATAAACTGCAGTAAAAAGAGGATTGTTTTATCCATCTGCATTTACCCAGGCTTCACCTCACACTTTCAAGATTTGTGATAATCATCTTAGGCCTAACACGTTAGTGTACAGTATAAGCTCACTAATCTAAACCCCAAAGGAGGAAAAGAGGTCAATTTCTTGAAGCAAACTTTGCAGATGGCCAACTTTTTCTGAGTACCCAAAAAGGAATTGATCTGTTAAAAACTACAGTGAGTAGACTCATGCATGCGAGTTCAGGAACAGTCAACAGATGATGATTACTTCTAGCTGCTGACCAGTTGGTAAACTTTCAAAACACAAATCAGACTTTGCCACAGTTAGGTGTTAAGAATGATAGTCTCACTCAATTATCTGATCTAATCTTATAATCACACCAGGCATTCTGTCATTACCTTAGAAGATACCCAATAGCTTTCAACCCTCAATAAAAATCTTTAGCAACTGTTCCTCAAAGTCATAAAATCATCCCTGCATGTGAAGATAAAAAGTTCCTACTGTAACCAACATCGAACCAAATACTTTCTACCCATCTGAGACAATTAACTAATCAATGGCACAATGACCTCCCAAGACAGGAGCGTTAGAGTCTGTCAGACTTACCTGGGAGGTCCTGCCCATTGTAGTTCCATCCAGTGACAGCCAACATGGAGGGCAGAGGAGATCCAGGTCTACTGTCCCTGTCTCGCTCCCTGTCCCGTTGCCGATCCCATGTCCTCTCCGCCTGTTGGGTAATATGTCTGACTGTGTCCTTGTTCTTCCTGTTCTTCCGTCGCCCTGACCCTGACAGAGGTTGCCAAGGTCCATCTCCAGCTCCTCCACTGGCTCCTCCTCCTTGTTCTCCTTGGTTGTGGGTTGCCCCCTTTAGAGTGTCCCTTGGATGAGAAGAGGAGGCAGGGGAAACCTGTTCTTCTTTGACATTGATGGGTTTGTAGTCATGTGGCCAGGCAGGCTGGGAGTCATGGCAGGCTTCCTCCTGGCTCTCGTGACTCTTTGGGGGTTCTTGGTCCTCCTTTCCATAGGTGCTGCCTCCTTCATGGCAGCTGGCGATGGCTGAGTCTCCAGAGGAGTTGGCTGGGCTAGTTCGACGTGCCAGCCAGGGGGATGTGCTACGACCTGAAATGATGGAGGCCAAGGCTTCAGAGGCTATACCCACTATCCCACCTCCTCCTCCTAAACCAGCTCCTGGAACAGCTCCTGCTCCCACTATACCCACTGCTCCTCCACCCCCACCAACTCCTCCACCTCCTCCCAAGCCTGCGGCAACAGCGCCCATTTCAAAGTCGGCCAGCTCGTCGGCCATCTCAGAGCGGATGCTGATGTCCAGCGCAGCCTTGATGAAGCTGTGGCAGGCCTGGACGATGTCCGTCATCTGTAGGTAGCTGGCAGCTGACATGACCTCGATCACGTTCTTACTAGTGAGGGCGAGATGTGCAGAGTACATGAAGTCCAAAATAGCTTTGAAACCGGTTGCTGTAACAATGTCCAGATGAGTGACAGTAGTTTGATGGTGAGGCTCTGCCCCCTTTTTAACCTGTAGAATGAAACAAAAGATTTTCTTGATTGCTTTTTTTACTCTTTCAGAAATATAAGCAAGCGCATAATCAAACCTCCCGGATATAAATATATATTTTTACAAGCTATGTCCTTTACCTGGCAGTAAAGAGTCTTGAAGTAGCGTGAGGAGCCCAGAAGAACATTCTTATGGGCCTTGAAGATCTTTCCATCCACGATGACACAGACGTCACAGAGGATCCCGTGTTGCCTCTGCTCATTGAGCTCTCTGAGGAGCTGACGGTAGTGAGATGAGATCTCCATGTCCTCCTTCCTGTTGTTCATCTGTGTAGCTGAACAAAAGTCTTTCCTCCACACATCTGCTGGCAAATCAAAAAATAAATAAAATAAAAGACATGCAGGCAGACTGCTAGGGATTTTTGAATTGTCAATTGTACAAGAATGAACAGCAGCAAAAATATAGAATATGTGTACAGTAGTCCCAAGCTAATCAGGGGGGGGGTCCATACCCTGAAGACCCGCGATAAGTGAAAAACAGTGAAATAGGAATAGTAGTACAAGTAGTAAATTATTTTCATATTTATACAGATACATAAATACAAATACATATATATACATATATATATACATATATACATACACATTATATACACACACATATATATATATATATA